CTGGTCTTCTCAGACTTAAAACCTGAACATTTCACAAACTGTTTTATGGTCAGAGTTGTTCCTTGTTTTGAGTCGTGCCAACAGTGCTCCGTGCGCGCTGGCCCCTCCTCTCTCTGTGCAGAGGTTGAAGAGCTAACCACTCTGACAGTCTGTTTGATTCACCCCGCGCTTCACCTCTCTGTTATTTCTGGATGTTATTCTGAGCGCTGAGGGCTATGTTAGGGATCAAGGATACACTCTTTCTTTGCCAAAAGGACTGGATCACCACCGACGACTGCAGGAATTGGCAGCTTGAATTGTGAAAAGTACAGGACGTCCCTTTATCAGAGAGTCTCCACAAATGTCGATAAAACCAACAATGCGACCAGACAGAACAAGCAGCAGCAGAGTGGTTAGCCCTGCTTTCTCCACCAAACTCATACACCTCAGCTTTACAGAGCCTCTCAAAAATACAGATGGAACATACGTCTATCTGTGTGTAATCTCCTCTCAGTAATGAGAGCTATGTGGCCTCAGAGCTGTAGTTATCACTAAACAGCATCATGAAGGCCAAGGAGCAGAGATGTCAGAGATCAGGGAGGAAGTTGTGAAGAATTTTGAAGCAAGTGTGGCAAGTCGAGACGGCTACGCGCTCATTAAGTATACAATAATAAAACAATTAACCTCTTAACTAACACCGGCGCGCCGGCGGCTGTTTTTATGTTTTTAAATGTTCTGCTGGCAATAGCAGATGTATTTTGAACACCAAACCCCAAAAGCTGTATATCATTTTAAAGCTTATTTTCTTATCTACATTTATATACATTTGTAAACCACATCAGACTTTGCATTCAAAAGATATAACACATAACGTGGGCACAAAATAAATCAATTCCGAAATAGTTTTTTACCTTTGGGCTTGTGCTGTACAAATAAATCAGCTCTCCTCCCAGCTTGCAATACATCATTCTCTCTGGAACAGTCCAAAGGAAAATTATATCCACTTGTATTTCCCAAAGTAAAATCCATTCTGCAGAAATAATCCAAAAATGTGGATTTATCTTTAGCAAAAAAAACGAAAAAAAAGAGCACAGATGTTACTCTTTCACTTTTAACGGACTTTTAGCTTTGTTTTTCACCCAAACATCTGGTATCCACGTGTTCCTTAGCTCCTTATCTTTCAAATGAGACTACTCCCGAAAAGCTAGACCAATTTTTGGGTCTGCAAGAGGTCCCGTAAATACAGCTTGCGCTGCTGTTTGCGCATTGAACACTGATCTTTTGTGGGGTCCCAACCAAGCCCCGGCGATCCAAGATGGCGCCCTATTCAAATGAATGGTTGTGCTCAGTGGCGCTTTGTGACAGCATGGGGGCTGAAAGATTAGCGGAAGCTATTTGCGAAACTCGCAAAGATCTATGGGAAACTCGCCTGTATTTGGGCATCGTCTGGTCCTCCCGGTTCTGCGCAGTGGATGATCTCCCATAATGCGTTGCGCCAAACACGCGTGTGTGGGTCTCACACCAGGTCTCACGCACGTGCACAGAGGGGCTTGGCCGCGCTCTGACCAATCAGAGCAGTTCATCAGAGCGGGAGTTAGAGCGAGAGCCAGACGAGCAGAGTTTGTGGCACTAAAGTGTGAATTTAAACAAAACCGAAGGATTTAAGAAGAAAAAAAGTTCAGGATGACAAGGGACACTAAAATCCCCACAAAATCCGATCTTTATTAAAGCTGTAGGTTCTCTGTCAGCTGAGGTTGAGCTGTTTTAATATGCATTGAGTTCTATGGGGAAAATTTCTGGGTAGCCCACGTGAATTTAGTCTGGTTCAGTCTGCAGTACCGCAAGAATCCCCTGAGCACGTGAGTTATTCAGCTACAAGCTAGTAATACCCTATCCAGTTAATATAATACATCCATGGTCCCAACTTGTTTGCTTTTACTTCCGGGATTTACGATTGACATGTCCTTGTAGCCAATGAGGAACGCTTTCGAACAAGGGGTGGGACAATGGTGTCCTGTCTTATGTTGGGCCTGGACAATTGTGCGTAATGGAAGCCAAAAGACGCTCTCGAAGCTGCAATGAATTTACACTCATAAAAAAATAACTTTGACATTTAAAAAAGAAAAACACACATAGATTAGTAACTTATAAGTACCAATAATAAAAAATATCGTTTTTATGATGATTAAAGACAAGAGATTAAAGAAAAAGACAAGCAACGCCAGGGCAGAGTAACAAAAAAAAAAGAAGCGCTGTAAGGCGCCCAGGTTCGTTAAATCATAAGAGGCATAGGCAGACATTAAGTTACAAGTTCCTTTGATTTATTACATTATAACATAGAGTTCAGTTCTTAGTTCTGGATGTGTATCTTCCTGTCACGATGGACTCAGGAGCACAGGTAAACACACAAAGAAACACGGAAGAACAGTGAGAGAACAGTGAGAGAAACAGCGGGTGAAACAGCGGGAGAAACAGTGATGCAATGTGGCCAGTCCCCAGCCTATGGATTACAGTAGAGTCAAGTTAGCTAATGATCAACCACAATTCTGTCAGCGTGTGCAGCTAAAACCTACTTCTCCACGGAAAATGCTGAGCATGCACCCTTGACGGGTGACGGTTTAAAGGCCCAGACCAAGCCCCGGCGATCCAAGATGGCGCCCTATTCAAATGAACGGTTGTGCTCAGTGGCGCTTTGTGACGGCATGGGGGCTGAAAGATTAGCGGAAGTCGCCTGGAACTCGCAAAGATCTATGGGAAACTTGCAAAGATCTATGGGAAACTCGCCTGTATTTGGGCATCGTCTGGTCCTCTTGGTTCTGCGCAGTGGATGATCTCCCATAATGCGTTGCGCCAAACACGCGTGTGTGGGTCTCACACCGGGTCTCACGCACGTGCACAGAGGGGCTCGGCTGCGCTCTGACCAATCAGAGCAGTTCATCAGAGCGGTAGTTAGAGCGAGAGCTAGACGAGCAGAGTTTGTGGCACTAAAGTGTGGATTTAAACAAAACCGAAGGATTTAAGAAAAAAAAAAGTTCAGGATGACAAGGGACACTAAAATCCCCACAAAAGCCGACCTTCATGAAAGCTGTAGGTTCTCTGTCAGCTGAGGTTGAGCTGTTTTAATATGCATTGAGTCCTATGGAGAACATTTCTGGGTAGCCCACGTGAATTTAGTCTGGTTCAGTCTGCAGTACCGCGAGAATCCCCCAAGCACATGAGTTACAGCCGGCTACACCACACTCGGACCCCAGCAATGAGGGCGGCCAGACGCCAAAGCGACAGGACAGCATGGCCATATGAAAGCAGGACCCGCAGGGCACAATGCCACACCGCGGCCCTACAACAACAATTAACATTTGTGGCTGCCACTTACAAATATTAGAATGAACAGTAGAACTCTACTACCTGGAGAAGGAGAAGGCTGGCGCGACGCAACACACTGGGGACAGAAGTGCAGAGGTAAACAAAGACCCAACAAGAGACTATTTATACTGTGATGCCCACTCTAGTGGACACAAATATAGTCCAGCTTGCCACACAAGGTTAAGTTATACTAACATTCTCAAAGCTTTAAACATCTCGCCGAGCACTGTTCTATCCAGTAATCTGTAAGAGCACAACTGCAAATCTGCCGACACTCGGCTGTCTGCCCAACCTCACAGCTCCAAGGAAGACACTGATCACAGATGCCCATGGTTACTTTGGAGTTGCTGCACACATCCAAAGCTCATATGGGGAATCCTATATTTAAAAGTGGTGAATTGAAAGTCAGGGTTGAAATAAAGCTACAAGAAGCAAAGGGGCACACTCAATATGTGGAAGAAGGAGCAGAGGAGACCAACACTAACTCTGCCTCAGTGTGAGAGATGGGAGCATCATGCTGTGGAGAGAGGAGACTGACATTGAACTATTTGGTCCAAATCCATGTTTGGCTCGAAACAATCACTGCTCTTCTCCCTCCGTGCACCATTTATAGAATCATTATTGGGGGTGGCAGCATCCAACTGTTGGTCTGCTGTTCTTCAGCAGGAACAGGGAAGAGTGTCAGAGTTGATGGAGGTGAATGGAGCAAAATATTGGGTATTGTTTAATATTTCTAAAACAACAAAATCACGTTTCATTATTCTGTCACTTTATAGTCATCTGTTACTTCTGTCTGAACTCTCAGTAAAGATGTCCACATTTAATCTTTATGTTTGTATTCATAAGCAGGCCCTGTACGTGTCCAAGACGAAGCTGGGGCACCTAATTTTCAAACCACAAAAAAGTTTTCATATTATGTATTTCTGGCCTCTGTTACATCTTTACATCAGCTTATTCAGACAGAAAAGTGAGCCCAAAGAGTCAGATAGTGACTCACATACTTCCTGTTAAGTGTGCAAAAGTTTTTTTAATGAGATGGAGACAGCGTGTTGTGCCTGATTTGTTCACAACAGCCTACTTGAACAAGATTCGTCCTGTTGAAACAAACACAGTTTTTTACACAAAGTAATTTCCCCCCCACATTATAGCTGTTGTCTCCTCGCCCCCACACACTCAAAGTACTTTTTAGAGCAATTCTTACATTTTTAAGTAGTTTATTTGTAAAAAGAATATATATATATATATATAAATATGAATCATAAGTCATAGATTATCTCCCTCCAGCAGACAGTGTTACTGAAGCTCTCACTGTTGTGTCTGAGAGTATAATCCTGTTTCCCCTCATGTACTAAACCAGCCTCAGTGCGTTGCTCAAAGGCAATCAGACTCCAACGCTTTAGGAGCAACTCATCTACTTCTCTCCGCCCACAATCGCTGCTAAGTCATTCTCACCAACCAGCGAGTGCCTCTCCCCATTCGCCGAGCCCAAGCCCAAGCCCGAGCCCGAGCCAGTGCCCGATAAAACCCTGTAATGTCCCAGAAGTCGGACATTAAACACATTACTGTTGGAGATCAAAGCTGCATGTCTCTGTGAGGAATCGTACACTTGGATCAGAGCTGTATGGCGAGGCCCCTGCTGTACGACCCACCTGAGGCAGTCAAGCACAGCCCCAAGCCCGAGCACTGCAGAGGATTAGGGCCTGTGAGATCCCACTGTGTGGAGGAGGGGGGGAAGGGAGAAAGAGGTAGGGAGGGGGGGGCGAGAGGAGAGGAAGGAGAGGGAGGAGAGAGGAGAGGAAGGAGAGGGAGGAGAAGGAGGAGAGAGAGGAGATGAAGGAGAGAGGGGAGTGAGGAGGAGGAGAAGTAGGGGGAGGGAAGGGGGAGATGGAGGGGGGAGAGTGTGGAGAGGGAGAAGAAGGAGCAAAGGGAGAAGGAGGAGGGGGGAGAGAGATGAGTGGAGGGAGAGGAAGGTGAGGAGAAGAGCAAGGAGAGAGAAGAGGGAGGAGGGGGATCTCAAAGGTTGCTTCCTTAGAGATAGGGTAAAGAGCTTGATCACACAGGATGAGGTCGGAGTACAGCTGCTGTTCCTCCACATGGAGAGTAGCCAGTTGATATTGCTCGGGCATCTGTTTGGGATGCCTCCTGGACGCCTCCTGTGTTCTGGGCATGTCCCACCGGGAGGAGACCAGGGGAAGACCCAGGACACAGTGGGACTGTGTTTTTTCAGCTGCCCTGGGAACGCCTTAGGATTCCCTCGGATGAGCAGGGGGAAGTGTGTGTGGCGAGGGAAGTCTGGGCATCTTTACTTGGACAAAAGCTCTCAATGTATTCATGTATCTTTAGCCTCTGACACATTTTCAGATTAGTGTTCCTCGACAGAAAAGTGAAAAAAGGAGATTAGTTGCTCACAGCCCAAAGAGTCACACAAAGATCACATGTTTCTACGACCGATGTTGTGCTCTGACTTTGTTTTTTCTACAAGAGTCTTTCTTTTTGGACAAACGACATGTGTTATTCATGTACGCAAGTCAGATATTAAACACAGAAACCTTTGCATTTGTATCTGGTTCTTATCGTTGATCTCCTCTGCATTGGTGACCCTGGTCCTGTCCCTGTCTCTGCTTCACTGCTGTTTATGAGGCCTCTTCGATGGGACGTCCCATGTCTGGCTTCACTCACTCAGTCCAGTCCTCCCTTCTGTACCACGCTCCGACTGCCACCTCCTTCTCTGCTCTCCTGGAGTCCTTCTTTGCTGCTGGGGTCCTGTTATGAACCGTCAGGACATGATAAAAGCCCTGTTTGCATCTTCTATATTCTGCTCTACTCTATTCTATCTAGTTGTGTTTCCATTACACTTAAATATCTGGCAACACATCCTGGCAACCTACTCACAATAACTTCCAGTATTCATGGAAATTCCATGGTAACCATGGCTTCCAGCAGCACTCTGGCCAATCACTGTCAGTTAGAACACTTTAGTACCAGCTCGACCTGGATAGAACCAGGACCAAGAGAGACTTAAAGAAGGACCTGGTACTGGTTAACACGGCCAAGGCAAACACTCCCATTGGGGTTGAGTAGAGTAGGGCTGGGGGGGTACAGGGAGTAATTGGGAGTGATTGGCCAGAGTGCTGTTGGGAGCCATTGGCTATTTTATATTATAAAGGTAAAATAAAAACAACAAATGATGTCTCCTTTAATAAAAGACGTTACAGTTTTTTAAAATCTGTATTTATCATGAACAATGACCATGTGAATATTGTCATGTTAAACTGACCCGCTCCAAACACATGAGTTGTGAGGCCCCTAGAGCAGAAAGACTGAGAGGAGGAAGTGATGTCACTGCTGAGGCCACACACATCAGGGGTCACTGGGGTCAAGCACTCACTTCAATCTGTTTTATCATCTGAGTGAAAATGACTTTATGCAACTCTTCAGGAAAGCATCAAACCTGCTACTTGTGTCCTGTTTCCACCAACCCTACTCTGCTCTCCCTCTGCTCTGCTCTGCTCCGCTCTACACTGCACTACACTACACTACTTATCACTGCTCTGCTCTACTCTATTCTACTTTGCTCTGCTCTACTCTACCCAACTCTGCTCTACTTTACTCTACTCTACTCTTCTCTACGCTGTTCTACAATACTTTTCTTGTCTCTACTCTGCTCTGCTATACTTTTCTTGACTATACTTTGGTCTGCTCTACTCTACTCTATACTGTTCTACTCTACTCTACTCTACTCTATGCTGTTCTGCTATTGAGAATGAGGGGTCACGTGATAATTTGGGCGGGGTCTAATCCGGTCGGCCATGTTGATAGGATCCTCCATCGGTTGCCAGGGACAACGCCACTAACGCTAACGCTCCAGAGGTCTTTAAATTGAGCACGTTTATTAGTTCGGCAGTAGATACATCTACGATTACAACACTAGCAAGACAGTTAATGGAGAAAGTGAAGGCGAAAGGAAATGGACCGTACAGGGAAAAGCTTCTACTCACGGCAAAACAACGTTATTTGGAGAAGCTCTCAGACATACAACAGGTAGACCCATACGAGCTTCCTGCAGCGGAGTGGCAAAAAGACCTAGACTTTTTGCCTCCGTGCACGTACATGGATATAGTCAATTACCTTGTTTTCAGTGTTAGTTATTACACAATGCAGGAGTTTAGAAGTCACAAGTCACTGGAGAGTTACGAGGCTTTCTGCTGTGGTTGGGTGCAGGACATGGCCATCTACAAGCCTCCAGGCGGTGAAAACACCGTTGTACTTGCAAAGGTAAGTTTTCATAACATGCGTTTTTGTGTGCTGTAATTACGTTGCATTTAGCACACATTTCTTGACCATAATGACGTGTGTCATTAGATAGTTAGATAGTTAGCTAGGCAGCTAACTTAAGATGCACTTCAGTGTTTGCAACATTAACAGCTAGGTAACCTACACTTCTTAACTTTAAAAAAACAACATGAAGACATTTTAGGACGTACCCGAGTGAAAATGCAGAGAACACACTCTCATCGACTGGGGGGTGAGATCGAAAGTAAGGTCCTTTCTTCTTATTGCAGCCAACCAAGCCATCCGGCATCTCTTCGTCAGGTCAGACACCTGCGCTCCCTGATGTTGTATACATTTTGGTGGCCTAAAAAATTGTAAACCGTTGTTCCTACGTTTTCCTTTCTTATTGTGTGAGGTACTGGAGCAGTTTTTCACACAGCAATGAGCTCCAGGCATGGTAAAACAGAAATAGCGATGACCTCCTTTGCTACCGAGTTAACAACAACTGTTTGCCGCTGGGTGGGATCCTACCAACATGGCGGAGACGGGGAGGGGCTCTGTGCTATGACGTCAACTCCTCACTCTCAATACTATTCTTCTGCTCTGCATCTGCTCTGCTCTACTCTACTTCGCTATATTCTACTCTCTCCTCTTTTCTCTCTCTCCTCCTCTCTCTCCACATCTGGACCTGTGACTTTGGGCATTATCTGCAGCTTAAATTGATACGCTTGGGACTGTCCTGCGCACCACCCCCACCTCTCTCCATTATGCAGCCTGCTCCAGGGCTTTGTGATGAGGGAGACCTCCTTCTTCTCAGTCCTGTGGAGGTGACTGTGGCCTGGGGTCCCTCTCTGTCCGAGCACCCGTGTCCAAACGCTTTTCTGCTGAGGAGAGGGGTACGGCTGCTGTATCGGCCTGAAGGGGAAGACTTGTTACCAAAAACACAAATCACATAGAGAATCCCACTCTGAATACATGTTTGAGTACTTTCTAAATCTCCGGGGCTGCATTTTGTGTGTGTAAAATAGCTCTTAGCATAACATTATCATGGTATTAGCCTGGTGCTCTGCCTGTTAACAACATGGTAAGTATTACATCAAATACAAAGATTAACCTGTTGAATTGCAGGAGCTTTGGATCCAGAGAAAAAACAGTGGTTTGTTTGACAGAAAGAGACAAAATCAGACCACAACGTGCTGTCTTTGTCTTCGTCTTCAAGATGTTTTCTTTTGCAGACGTTTTGTGGTAAATAACCCTGAGAGATTTCTGGCTGAGGGTTAGACCAATCAGGAGCTAGCCGGTCATCCACCAAGAGGGTGGATGAGTCTAACCAGTGGTAGTATTGATTTAATTTTTGAATTGAATTTTATTGAGCTCTTTACGTTCTCCTTGTGTCTGTGGGTAAAACATGCACCATAGGCCCCGTTTATATGGAGACGCTGCAACAGTATAACGTTGGTGAGTTGGGTATCGGTTTGGCCTCCCGTTAACAGGGCCATAGACAAATCCTCCAGGTCTGGCCCGACAATCAGAAGGGTCCTTTGTACAACAGCAACCACTGGCTCCAGAGGCATTGGAAGGATGTATCAAATGCAGAGGAAACATCTCCCAACAAAAATGTCTTTAACATTAACCTATAATGCACTAATAATAATAATAATAATAATAATAATAATAATAATGGTCATATAAATAATGATAATCATAATAAAAACAATAATTATAATATTATTACGGGATTTGGCTTGACTTGACTACAAAAGTACGGAAAAAGTAATATGAAAAAATTAGACCACTCCATGCTTTTTGAAAACATGCAATTTTTGCATACATACTAGAAAGATCAGTCACTATTTGATTATCACATACAAAGGCCCAACAATTACAACCTAATAGGTCAAGTGTTAAAAACTGTACTGTACATTTCCAAACATCAGCCAATGTTCAAAATACTGCATGCAGTAGAAAGATTGAGGTGGAACTCAGATCTCCATGAAAGAATATAAGATGAATGGTGAGTGGAAGTCCAAAAAGGACGCTTGTATAATGGTGTTGTACAGCTGCTGTCAGAGCTGTGTACAAACCACAGCTGAAACGGCTCAGACTGTCACCCCAATGTCAAACAGTGTTCCTCTCAACTCTCATCACTCCAAGTCACTGCTCAACGGCGGTTCAACTGCTTTGGATCCAAAATCTCTGATATCAGGAGCCAGAAACACTCTAAATACTGAAAAGAAAATGTTACTAAAGATCAGGAGGGTCTGTTGGACCCTTGTCTGTTGGACAGTGGTGATTATTCAGGACTCAACATTCAACAACAATTATGGACATGTATCAACCTTTATGGACATTGGTCATCTGTCCATAATGGACCAATGGCTCTATTGTGTTTTTATCATGGCATGTCTTGTGTTTGAACTGTTTGATTCTCTCATCTGTGTTGGCAAATTCTACAATTTTGTTAAGTCCAGAGATTTCCTCAAATTAAGGCATCTGATTGGTCAATGCTCATATGCCTCTGTATTTACAAAGAAAATATTACAACACAGAGGAACCACAGATTTAATCCCACAATGGTGAGAGTGACATGATGGTTACAGAGCTCCAGGAATTTACTTTTACATGTAAGTCAATTGGAGCCAAACTTCACCATGAGCACTTCCCTATTTGGCTTCATTGGGCTGGCGGGTTAGCATTGTCCATCTCTATACAACTCTATCTATGAAACTTACTAATATTGCATAAGTAAAAGGTTGTGAACAAATCAGATTACAACATTTTGTAGAAAGAGCACTGTCAGTATTTGACTCTTTGGGCTGAGAGGCGATTGGCTAAGTGAGGATGGTCCTCTCTTTTCCCCTTTTTTCTCAATGAAAAAGCTGATACAAGGATGTGACTAGTGATAGAAGCAAACTGTTTTGAGTCCCAGCAGGAGACCAGTCCCTGTGCCCCTCAGACTTGGTTCGTATGGTGCTAACGTGTCACAGATGTACTTAGGTCCGAGGCCATGGAAAGACTTGCAGAGACCAGTCTGTCCCTGAGCCTCAGTGATTATGTGACCGCAGGGCCCTGGAATAATGGTGGGATGCAACAAGTAATTGACCAGACACAAATTATACAATTTTGAGCAATTTATTTGGCGAAATGAGACCTAAGAAATAGGAAAATATATGTTTTTATTTCATTGTATTAAATGTAATCATTAAAAATACCAATTATAAAATATGTGCTCCAATGCTAACCAGAAAGAAAGCAACACTCAGGGCTGGCCAGTAGCGGCCCTACACGATGGAGGACTAAGGGGCTGGAATAGAGCACTCACTACGCTCCGTGCCACACATTCATACACACACCAAATCAAGAAAAGAGGCAAACTGAAAATGTACAAGTGGTGAAGGGAGGTGCAAAATACCACGGCATTCAAAAGGAGTGATGGTGCAGCAGTGGGTAACTCTATCACCAAATCCCCCACCATGAGAAGCCACGCCCGGACCAGACCCTGAGCAGAAAAAGACACAATGAGCACAAGTACCCAATCACAGGGTTCAATATATTAAAATGAACTAAGCACCAAACAAACACAGTAAATAAGTAAATTAAATAAAGAAACAACAAAAACAAAATTAAATGCCAATTAGACCCAAATAAAAACTGCAAGGCACTCAGCGCCTATAAGAACAAAAAAGAGTTAACACATGTAATAAATATTCCTCCTCTACTTGTAAACTGGCATTACCTAGTATGACTACAAGAGAGCGGCTACGTCATAGCAGGCCGCCTCCTTTACACACGCAGCAGTCTGAGCCAGCGTCTAAAACACAAAAAGGAGAACTGAGAATTCACTAAAAAAATGAGGAGCACAAACACACCTACCAGGCCTTCAGCAGTGAGAGGAATACCCGCCCCAGGGACCACGATTGGCGCAAGTGGCACAGGGATGTAGCGTCAGTACGGGTGTCTGCTGTGTGTTTATATATGAGCGCTAATGTAATGGAATGCGGAAGTCTACGTACCGGCTTGGGGGGGAATTCCCTCTACGGCGGCTCATTAGGGACAAACAACCCACCGGTTACATTCACCCCGGGGCTCTTGAATTGGCGGCCCGACAATACCACAATCTTATCGGTAATGTGTGAAGGTGGTTGGACAGCACTGTATCTAGGAGGTTATAGCCCTTGCCCTGCCTCTGCCCCTACATCTAGCTGGCAGATTATATGGATTTGAATGCAGGCCAGCGGTCCTTCGACTGGACCTCCTAAGTGACGGGGGGTCAGAGTTCACTGGGCAACTCTGGTTCTCTTGAACTGGTGGATCCACCTCTGCTTCCACCGGAGTTCCGATGCAAGGTTCCTTTGCGAGCGGTCTGCCTGGAGCGTCGCTGGCTAGCCAGAGGCCCTCCTCCTCAGGTTCGCTGTTGGTGGTCGCAGGGGATGTTCCTCTTCTCGTTTTGGGAGATTGCCACCTAGCAAGCACAGGTTTAAGCATGGTTCTATGGACGTGGCGTACCTCAGTTTGTCTCTCTTGCGGGGCCACAGCATATACCACCCCACCGGGCTCAGGGGGCTTCACTACCAGGAATACTTCTGGGGCCCATGCGTCCTGGATTTTTGATCTTCCTCGGTGGGAGTGGTCCTGTAGGTAAACATGCTGTCCAACCGGCAAGATTTCCTCCTGCGCTTGCCTGTCAGCTCTCCCTTTCCGTCGTTCAGCAGCCGCCCGCATGTGCTCCCTAGCACTCTCTGTAACCACCTGCATCCGTCGTTGGTGCTCCCTGATCCACTGGCTGGATTCCCCGGGGATTGGGTCATTGAATTTACCCAACATGAAGTCCACGGGGAGCAGGGGCTCTCTGCCAAACATAAGGTGGTGAGGGGAATAGCCTGTTGACTGATGCGGAGTAGTATTGTAATTAAACAAGAGTTGGGAAAGATATTGTGGCCAGTGGCGCTTCTGATCAGCCGAAAGGGTTCGAAGAAGATCATGCAAAGTCCGGTTAAAACGTTCGCACTGCCCGTTCCCCTGCGGGTGGTAGGGCGTAGTCCTGGACTTTTTAATGCCATACAAATCACAAAGTTGATATATGATGGCGTTCTCAAAACTGCGGCCTTGGTCTGAATGCAACCTCGCTGGGACTCCAAACTTGTAAAACCAGTGATTGACTAGAACACCAGCAACGGTGGCGGCACGCTGGTCCCGGGTAGGAACAACCTGGGTAAACTTTGAGAAAATGTCTGTCATCACTAGCACTTGTTCTCTGCCATCCTGAGCTGGTTCTAAAAACGAAAAATCAATTGCCAGGACTTCATTTGGGCCAGAGGCCAATAGATGACCCATTGGAGCGCGTACCCGTGGCACTGTGCTCTTGGCCAGACAGCATCGTTCACACTGCAGGCACCAGTCACGGATTGTTGACCGCATACCAGGCCAGTAGCATCTCTGCCGTACCAGTTCAGTTGTGCGCTCAATACCCTGGTGACCGTGATGTGTATGCAACTGCTCAAAGACTTCTGCGCGAAGGCTCTCTGGCAACACCAGCTGTAGGACCTCCTCCCCTCCATCTGATCGTTGATAAGCCCGGTACAATAGTCCGTCTCTGGTGCGCAGCCGGTCCCACTGGCGTAGTAACTCTTGCAACGCAGGACCCTTGTCTTGTCGCTCGGTCAGGCTTGGCATTCGTTGCTGCTTAACATAGGGAAGCACAAGAGAGATAAGAGGATCTGCTTGCTGTATGATTACCAAGTCACCGGGAGTTCGTTCCGGCAATGCAGAGATGGCGGATTGAGCAGCCACCCTTTCTGGCCGTACTGCCTTGTCGATTTCCCCTGGGATTAGTGTACCTGGACGAGATGAAACTGGGGGTGTGTTAGAGGTTGCCTGGAGAGGGCGTCTGCGTTCTGGTTGGTGCGGCCAGGGCGATACTTCACCACATAGTCAAAGACGGCCAGCTCTGCCACCCAGCGCTGCTCCGTAGCCCCCAGCTTGGCCGTTCCCAGATGACTGAGGGGGTTATTGTCAGTCCACACTACACATTTGTTACTCAGCAGGTACTCACGGAATTTCTCTGACATCGCCCACTTCATGCCAAGAAACTCCAGTTTCATAGAGCTGTAGTTCTTTTCGGCTGGGAGTAGGCTGCGGCTGGCATATGCAATGGGACGGGTCTTGCCATCTTGTTCCTGGGACAGAACAGCTCCTAGGCCTTCATGGCTGGCATCCACTTCTAAGATAAAAGGAAGGTTAAAATTTGCATATGCTAGCACCGGAGAGGACACCAACCTTGCTTTAAGCTCTCCAAAGCTGGAGTCACACTGTGGGGTCCACGCATCATTCAGGGACACACCTCGACCTCTGCGGTTTTTCTTGCCAGCCAGTTGTGCTACAACCCGGTGCAGGGGGGCCGCGAGCCTGGCAAAGCTTTCTACAAAACGCCTATAATAACTTGCAAACCCCAGAAACGAGCGGAGTTCGGCTACTGTGCTTGGGGTAGGCCATTTCTCCACAGCAGAAATTTTCTTTGGGTCCGTAGATACCCCAGCTGCCGACACGACATGTCCCAAGTACCCCACTTTGTTCTGGAAGAAACTACATTTGCCCAGTTTCACCTTGAGTGACTCTTTTTGGAGGCGACTGAGAACCAGCCTCAAGCGGTCAAGATGCTCCTCCACAGTGGATGAAAACACAATGACGTCATCTAAATATAGCAGCAGAGACTGGCAGTTCTGGTCCCCTAGCAGCCTCTCCATTAGCCGTTGAAAGGTACTAGGAGCATTGCAGAGACCAAATGGCATCCTCTGGAACTCAAACAGTCCAAATGGGGTGCAGAAGGCGGTCTTAGCTTTGTCTGCCTCAGTTACTGCCACTTGATGATAGCCGCTAGCTAAATCTATGGTGGAAAACCACTTTGCACCCGAGAGAGCATCTAAGGACTCTTCAATTCTAGGAAGTGGGAAAGCATCTTTCCTAGTTTTGTTGTTCAAGAGTCTATAGTCCACACATAGTCTTAAGCTGCCCTCTTTTTTCCGGACAAGCACGATCGGTGAAGCATAGGGGCTACAACTCTCCCGAATGACTTGGCTGTCCAACAATTGACGAATGTGTGCCCTAACTTCGTCATAATCAGATGGGGGTATGCGCCTGTATCTCTGCCTGATTGGGGCATCGTCGTTTAGTGGAATGTCATGGGTAATTAAGGAGGTGCAGCCTAGGTCCAAATCAGATGACGCAAAGACCTTTTCATGTTCAAGCAAGAGGGAGAATACACGTTGCCGGTCGGTATCAGTTAGTGACGCGAGGTCTAGTGATGCAATCTGGCCCCTAACAGAGTCAGATAAGACGGCCTGGGAATAGACTGTGGCCCCTGCACTATGTGGCTGTGTGAATGAGATTCCATCTGGCATGCTAATAACATCTGCTCGGCTTAGTGTTGCTATAGGGTGATGAGGGTATAGTGCAGTCCCTCTTTGCCCTACATTGACAACCGGAATGTAAACTGTACCTTTCTCGACCGTGACCATTGCAGGTGAGACCAACAAGCCTTCAGGGAGGGGTTGACCACTATCCACCGGTTCGATCAAGACTGTACCTGTAGACTGACTAAAGTGAGCAGAGCATGTGGCAGCAATCAATTTCATTGAGCCCCCAGGAATAATGACAGGACGCCTACCTCGCACTCGAGCCACACTGCTCGTAGGTGGCAAATCTGTGGTCTCAGTGTAGTGGCAATGATACAAGGCCTGCTGCAATGCTACAGATGCCTGCTGTACTTCAGGAAGGTCAAAGAGGTTAGGGCCATGCTCACTGAACAACACTTGATAACATTTTTTTATTATGTTCATTCCCAACACTCCTCTTACCTCACCTGTCCCTGGGGGGTCCTTAACAACCAGAATACCCCGGTTCGGTACAACCTGGCCAAATACAGTCACGTCCATCTCAATAAAACCCACATAAGGGATGTCAAAGCCATTAGCTGCAGTCAGCTCCAGCCAGTTACAGGATTTAGGGGTGCCTTTAAAGTTCTGCCTAAAGAAACTCTCTGGCAAGGTGGTAACCATTGAGCCAGTGTCTAGGAGCAGCTTAGCAGTTACTCCCCCTAAGCTAACAGTTACCTCCGGACATGCTGCTATAAGGCGGTCAATTGGGCGATGTGGGCCTGGCCTTTGTATCTGTGAGCCGTTACCTTCCCCTTCTGATGTTTGGCTCCTTACACCAGAGGGTTGAAGTTTCCCGCCTCCTGAAGAGCAGAGGTAGTGGCCACATGCTGAGGCCGAGCCTGTGGAATGAACCGCCTCATTATCACACTCCCGAGCAAAATGGCCGGGTTTTTGACAGCGGAGGCACAGTAGGGTGTTAGGTCGCCTGACTGGAGGTCGGGGGGCTGTCTGCAATGCCAACAACCCCTGGGTCAGTTGATTTAACTGTTCCTGTTGCTTTTCTAGAAGCTGTCGCAGCTCTGTGAACTCAGAGTTTGCCGTTAGGCTAGGTGGGCGGGCCCTGGAATAATGAACAGCGCTGAAGGATGGGACTGAAAAGCTCCTACCCCGTGGCTCATCTGGTCTACCCTCTCGTTCCCACCTTATGGCCTCAGCTCTAACCTCTAACAGCGTGCACTCAGGCTTCTCCCTTACTAACCTTTTTAGTTCCCTGCGCAGGTTAGGATCTAGGACGTGCTCAACAAACTGGTCGCGTAAGAGGATGTGGGAGTCTGCCATTTTCCTGGGAGCACAACGCTCGACTTTCTCCATAAGACAACATAAGGCATGCGAAAACTCATGCAGTGACTCTCCCTCCTGTTGCTTTCTGGAAAAAAAACATTCTTGAAAGGACACATAGGAACGTACACAGCCATACAACTCCCGCAGAATAGACATAATTCTTTCTGGATCTTCCCTCTCTGTTCTTGTTCTGTACCTGATCTCATCTTTAGCCTCACCCTCCAAATGGTCAAATACAAAATATGCTTGATCTACAGTGGTCAGTCGTCTAGTCCTCAGTGTGGCCCTCATTTCTTCTATCCAGTCCTCTATGGGTATCCCAGAAGTCCCCCTGAAGAGCGGGCACTTGCGTTCTCTGGGAATATACAGCAGGCGTTCCATAGACTCCCCATTGCTGGAATGGACATTAGATAGGGGGGCTGGACAGTCATTGGAGCAACTCGGGACAGCTGCTCCAGAGTTCATATTGGAAGCGGCTAGCAGCCGTTCATTTTTCAGACTGGAGCTGCTGGACCAAGTCTCTGAGCTCTTGTTCAGTGGCCATGATTGTTGTGGGGTGAGGAAAGTACAGGAGAACGGTAGGAGCCGTTGCCGTTGTGGAGGTCCAGCTGGCTTCCTCGATGACCAATGCAGTTCTATTTGGGTCTAATTGGACAAGCACAAAAAACAAAACAAAAATACAAAACATACAGAATAATCGCCCAAGTCAGTACAATCACTATTGCATCCCAGCCACACTGCCAGACAACGCCAATTGTGACCGCAGGGCCCTGGAATAATGGTGGGATGCAACAAGTAATTGACCAGACACAAATTATACAATTTTGAGCAATTTATTTGGCGAAATGAGACCTAAGAAATAGGAAAATATATGTTTTTATTTCATTGTATTAAATGTAATCATTAAAAATACCAATTATAAAATATGTGCTCCAATGCTAACCAGAAAGAAAGCAACACTCAGGGCTGGCCAGTAGCGGCCCTACACGATGGAGGACTAAGGGGCTGGAATAGAGCACTCACTACGCTCCGTGCCACACATTCATACACACACCAAATCAAGAAAAGAGGCAAACTGAAAATGTACAAGTGGTGAAGGGAGGTGCAAAATACCACGGCATTCAAAAGGAGTGATGGTGCAGCAGTGGGTAACTCTATCACCAAATCCCCCACCATGAGAAGCCACGCCCGGACCAGACCCTGAGCAGAAAAAGACACAATGAGCACAAGTACCCAATCACAGGGTTCAATATATTAAAATGAACTAAGCACCAAACAAACACAGTAAATAAGTAAATTAAATAAAGAAACAACAAAAACAAAATTAAATGCCAATTAGACCCAAATAAAAACTGCAAGGCACTCAGCGCCTATAAGAACAAAAAAGAGTTAACACATGTAATAAATATTCCTCCTCTACTTGTAAACTGGCATTACCTAGTATGACTACAAGAGAGCGGCTACGTCATAGCAGGCCGCCTCCTTTACACACGCAGCAGTCTGAGCCAGCGTCTAAAACACAAAAAGGAGAACTGAGAATTCACTAAAAAAATGAGGAGCACAAACACACCTACCAGGCCTTCAGCAGTGAGAGGAATACCCGCCCCAGGGACCACGATTGGCGCAAGTGGCACAGGGATGTAGCGTCAGTACGGGTGTCTGCTGTGTGTTTATATATGAGCGCTAATGTAATGGAATGCGGAAGTCTACGTACCGGCTTGGGGGGGAATTCCCTCTACGGCGGCTCATTAGGGACAAACAACCCACCGGTTACAATTACATTGTGTTAAAACATAAAAAACAGTATTCAGATAAGTCTTCAACAGTGCAAATGAAAAATCTGTGGTATAAAATGTTGAATATAGGACGAAAACAATAGAGCTGACTGAGGGGAAGTAAATGGACTTGTGACCACTCCTGCAGAGCTCGGAGGGGACAGTTTCATCAGCTCTTCTCCTCCTCCTCCTCCTTTTCTCTGGAGCCTATTGATCAGACATTAGGCATTAGCTGAGCGGCTGGAGCAGGCTTTTATCATAATCTCCCCCCTCCCGCCTGTTCTCCCTCCCTTCTTCTCACACACTCATAACGCCACTACACACAGGCTCCATGTCAGACACCTGGCCCTCCCTCTCCCCTCCTCACCCTCCCTCACCCCTCTGTGTTTGCATTACGACACTGTTTAATGGCCTCTTTAGAGCGGCAGGAGAAGCAGACAGGAAACGTTCCAAGAGCTTTCCAGTAGCTGAGAACCTGCTGTCGAGAATGTTGGGGACTACTGCATATGACAGATGATGTGTGCTGCTGCGTGTGCAAAACCCTGTGTTGGCAGCGGCTCTACTCCGAGCTCCTCCTGTGTGACTGAACTTTTCAGTTGATATCTAAAGGAGCACCGAGCCACACGTTCTGATTGCTTTGATCTAGTCCTGTCATTACATAAAGCTCTCACTTTAAAGCGTTTCACACTCCTTCAATTCATCTGTGTATCGCCCTTAATCACTACAGCAGTTGTCTCACCGACAACAGATCAGAGAATAAAACAGTTCGAAAACAACTAAAATGCAATAATAACAAACACATAGGAGCCATTGGTCCATAGGGAGAGGGATGATAGTGTCCAGAAATGTTATTAAAGTAGAAAAGAAATTTCCCTGATCATCACTCTCCTTCATCCCTCAGAAAACCAGTGGGAAAATATGAGAAACCTGGAGTCCCATGTTGAGAGAGTGTGGCCCACCAACACAAAGTACCATTGAGCTCATAAACACGTGTCAAGTTCATATGTCATCCAGCCAACTTCAGCTTCACCAGTACAGGCATGCGGTACCTCATGGTAAACCTCAGAACCTTTGGAATCTAGTCAGGTACTTTATTTATATTTATATTATATTTCATACATTTGTTTTGATCATGTCACAAAACTCTCTGGCGCTAATGTAGCTGGTGAGACAGTAAACATTTGGTCTTTTTAAAGCTCAGAACAGCCTGACTTCAGACAAAATAGTTTTACAATCTGTGCTGTTGGCCCCTGGACCAGTCTGGTCTTGAATCATAGAAATAAATTAACTTTTGAATAATGTTACAATGTTTGTAGTTTCTCCTGTAAAACCTGGTCCTTTAATAGTTTAGTTTATTGTTTATAAAACCGGGAAAATGTACAAAAACCATTAGTCTTTACAAAAGAAGAGATGGTTTGCACCAGATTTAGCTGCAGTTACTTTCCATCTGTAGTCCCTAGGCAGGTGAACACACAGATACACACATCACAAATATAAAAGCAAAACTTACTTCAAACAAAAATACAATCATATATACATTAAATGTTTTCCTAAAATGACATAGGATAAAATGAATAACATTTCTAATGCTATTAAAGTTCATAAATGTAGACACGATTGACTGTTTAAAATGTGCTTTTTCAAATTAATAGTGAAATGTTTCAGATCTACGGACAATTTCAGACTGTCCGGAAGCTGGTTCCACTGTTTAATGGCACGACATGAGAAGGCCGACAAAAGTGCAAAGGCCGACAAAAGTGCAAAAGCCGACGATCTTTTTGGGATCACACAGTTTTTGTTTACAGTGGACCGAGTCGATCGAGACATTTGTTCAGAGCAAAGTTTGACAAAGATTTTCAGAGGAGGTGGAGCTAAATTGTTTGTGATTTTGAATATGCTTCTTAGATTATTGAATGTAATTAAATTATCAAAACTCAGTAATTTATACTTACTCCAAATATGACAGTGATGGTAGCGAAGCGGTTTTTTGTCCAGTGCCTTTAAAGCCTGATTGTACACTGACCTGAGGGGTTTGAGCACAGTCTCATTGGCCTGAGACCAGCTGGATAAACAGTATGTGATGTGAGGAATAATCATGGCATTGAAATAGGTGAACGCCGCATCAACTGTCAGACTTTTCCTCATATGTCTTAAAGATGATGCATTATATTTTATCGATTTACTTAAATTTTTTTATATGCTTTTTAAATGACAAGGTATTGTCCAAGTAGACCCCCAAGTATTTTGTCTCTATAACAATTTTGAGAGCCACTCCATTGACATAGATGTTAGGCATCTTTTTGGTATTGTTTGTTTTGTGAAAGAACATGCCAAATGTTTTATTTGTGTTTAAAGTTAGGCAAGATGATTTGAGCCAACTCTCAATTTTTTCCATCGCAAGAGACAACTTTGAGGCCACTTGCTGCATATCCCTGCCATGTGTGTAGAATGCAGCGTCATCTGCATAAATGATGACCTCCAGATCTGGACACACCTCAGGAAGTTGATTGATATAAATGCTGAACAACAAGGGCCTCAGGATGGAACCTTGTGGGACTCCTGTTGTACAGGGTTTAAATGAGGACATTGCATTATTTGTTCTCACGCACTGCCTCCGATCTGTAAGATATGATTTGAACCACTGCAGCACTTCTGTGGACAGATTACACTGAGCAAGACCTAGTGGGCTGCACCCCCCCCCCCGCTTGGGAGATTCTTCAGTCCTGAATCTACAGCCTCAGTCCTGAATCTACAGCCTCAGTCCCGAATCTACAGCCTCAGTCCTGAATCTACAGCCTCAGTCCCGAATCTACAGCCTCAGTCCCGAATCTACAGCCTCAGTCCTGGATGTACAGCCTCAGTCCTCGATCTACAGCCTCAGTCCTGGATCTACAGCCTCAGTCCTGAATCTACAGCCTCAGTCCCGAATCTACAGCCTCAGTCCCGAATCTACAGCCTCAGTCCTGGATGTACAGCCTCAGTCCTCGATCTACAGCCTCAGTCCTGGATCTACAGCCTCAGTCCTGAGTTTCTGAGTGGTTACTGGATGATCGATTTCTGAATTTGAGAAATTGAAGGGAATCTGTTAAAATAAGAATGAAATCCTTCTTTACTTTGCTGTAAAGGCCTTTCTCCTCTCTGTGATTGGATGCTCTCTCCCCCTCTCTTTCTGTCTGTCTCTCGCTCTTTCTCGCTCTCTCTGTCTGAGCTCGCATTAGAGCCACTGCTGATGGTGATAGATGGCGGTGGCTCTGAAGTGCTCTAGGGTCCATTATCTCCTCTCTGTTACGGACAGGACGTCTGGCCCCGCCACCCCGGGCCCCTGCTCACGGCGAGGGTGAACCTGTGCACTCACCCTCCCTCAACCTCCCTCACCCCTCCCAGACACAGCTCTGATCAATACACCTCACTGTCTCACAGGTTTCCAGTCAGCAGTGGATTACATACACACACACCATCGCAAAACATGGAGGGCATGTGAGGGGGTTGGGGAGGGGTTGATGTAAGGTGAGGCAGGGGAGGAGAGGGGAGATGCTGGTGAGATCCATTGCCGATAAATATACAATGTTTCTATTCTGTTTGTTAAAAGAAACTTCTAGTCAAAAAACAAATGCATTAAAGAGAGAGCTACTGCTACTTTCCACCTGTCATCCCTGGGCAGAAAAACACACACATTACAACATGGCTTCCAGTAGCTCTCTGATCAATCACTGTCAGTAAGAACACTTCAGTACCAGCTCAGCCTGGATAGAACCAGGACCAAGATGGACTAAAGAAGGACCTGGTACTGGTTAAACAAGGCTGGTGAAAACATAGAGTAGAGTAGTGTAGTGTAGTGTAGGGAAGAGTAGAGCAAAGTAGTGTTGAGTAGAGTAGAATATAGAAGAATAGAGAAGGCTGGTTTTTCTATTTTCTTCAGGACATTACGACAACTTTGAGCTCAGTGAAATGCTTTTCATAATGAATTTGGGAAAGTTGTCATTTCCGTTTGCTGCGATACGTCAAAAGTAATTTATTTTTCATCTTGTTTCAAAAGCAGTGGAAATAATCACTTTACCCCCTCATTTCCCCCTCCCCTTTTTCTATCACTTTAATAACCACAAGTATTTTACATACACAGGGACAAATCAGTATTTCTTCAGCCCCCAACTGTGCAAGAACTCCCACTGACAGATGTGAGATGTCGGTAATGTTCATCATACTTAAACCCCAACTATAAAGCAAAACATCCAGAAAATCAATGTCTGATTTTCTAAATACTGTATTTGCAAATGATAGAAAATAAGTATTTAGTCAACAACAAGTCCATCTCAATTGTTATATTCCCTTTGAGTGTCACATGTATTGTAAGCCTTCATAAGGATTTCACATACTGTAGCAAGTACTTTTGGCCCATTTCTTCTGCAGATCTCTTCTAGAACAGGAGTTCTGAAATCTGAAGACTGAGGCTCCAGGACCTGTGGGTTTGCAATCAGTGTTGTGCTGAAAGACCCAAGTTTCATCTTCAAGGCGCTCCCTGGTGGAAGGATTTTGTTATTCCAAATCTCAACATACATGGCCCCATTCATTCTGTTCTTTACACGGACCAATTGTCTTGTCCCTCTGCAGAAAAACAGCCCCAGAGAATGATGTTTCCACCCCATGTTTCACAGTAGTTCTGATGCTGTGTCTCCTCCATGTTGAGTTAAGTTCCAAAACGTTCTACTTTGGTTTCATATGTAGATTGCTACGTTAATAGCTTGACTTCTTTCGACAGTATACTTCCGCCTTCCTCAGGTCCATCTTGTCTTCTTCCACTAAGAAGACAAGATGAACCTTCCTAAACTAGCCCTTTGAGTTGCCTTGTGTATGAACTGTGCTACACAAAGAACCTTGCCTTGCATACTGGCTTCAAGGTTCAACATCCTTCCTTGGGGGTCCTTGGTGCACGGCTCCCCTCTGCAAACAGTTGGAGGACAGAGAAACCTGTAAATAAATAAAATACCCAGTGTGTGTTTGAGCCCTCCAGCTTCAATTTCTGCTACGTGTTCTCTGGGCCTCATTCTGCTCTGTGTTCTCTCTGGGCTTAATTCTGCTCTGTGTTCTCTCTGGGCCTCATTCTGCTCTGTGTTCTCTCTGGGCTTAATTCTGCTCTGTGTTCTCTCTGGGCCTCATTCTGCTCTGTGTTCTCCCTGGGCTTAATTCTGCTCTGTGTTCTCCCTGGGCTTAATTCTGCTCTGTGTTCTCTCTGGGCTTCGTTCTGTTCTGTGTTCTCTGGGAGTCTTTCTGCTCTGTGTTCTCTGTGGGCTTCATTCTGCTCTCTGTTCTCAAGACTTCATTCTGCTCTGTGTCCTCTGGGCTTTGTTCTGTTCTTTGTTCACTGGGAGTCGTTCTGCTCTGTGTTCTCCTGTTTTCTCTGGGCTTCATTCTGCTCTGTGATCTCTGGGAGCCGATGTTGATGCTGTGTTTTTAGTGGATCCATGTCTTTGGCCCAGTTCTACCACAGAGCAGCACAAGAGTCAATGTTTCATCTCCTCTGACATTTTTAAGTGAGACTCTGGCATGTTATATGTTTGTTTGTAGTCGGGAATGAGGCCACAGGTGGAGACTTTGTGTGTCTGTGGCAGGTACTTTCCAGTCGGACTACAGGCAACAAATACTGCCTTTTGTAAAAAAGTAGGAAACTAGTCTTTTTTTCTCCCGTCTCTCTCTGGTCTCTCCCTGGCCTCTCTCTCTGGTCACTTTCTCTGGTCTTCCCGTAGCCCGCAGTCCTGCTCCTGCCTTTCCTCTGCAGTTGTATTTGACAATGTATGTACAGCTTGTGACAGCTGCAGCAGCGCTCAGACCTACAACCATCAAGTTTGATATCTATTATGGTGCTTTCAGACCGGATCATGCGTTGCGTTGGGTTTCAATGCAAAGTTTATGGTGACGCGCGTTCGACCGTCACAACGCAGGGACCTCTCGGCACGCATGAACGGACTGTTCAATAATGACGCACGGACTTGGCGGGAAAGTGAAAAGGGAGGAGCAGGAGCGAAAAATCAACACCCACAGGAGATTGATTCTGCTCATCCTTTCCTTGGGACGTTCGTGCGACAACCAATCAGAGAGCAGCAAAGTGGTCACGGGGACATTAGCGGACTGAGCGAGCAGACTGAAAATACTCGTAAACAGCCAAAACAGGACCCACACCAGGCTTCACCAGAACTCAAACCAGGGTTGACAATGGGGGACTCTGTGCATGTGAAAATATGCGTTGTCATGCTCCCGTGACCTTATGCAACTGCTTCGAGTGTGTTCGCTGATGCGGAAATTCCGTTTAATAATATGAAAACACGTATGGCGCACCTCCGTGAACACATACTACTGTTATATAAAGCCTGTGGAATGTCTGTGAGCAAAGACACGCTGCAAAGCTGCATATTGGAGAAGATCTGTACACAAGAAGCCGCTAGCATAGCTCTGTTAGCATTAGAGCCGGCCGGCTACTTCCGGAACTTCCGGCTCGCGTCAGGACGTTCTGGTGTGAAGTCCTCTGCGTCTGAAAACTAGAGAATGCGTGTCTGGTGAGCGGGGCTTCAGCGTTTCAGTGTTGGCGGTCTGAAAGCCCCATTAGACCACATAACCCCCACGAGGGACAAAGTTGTAGATTCATCCAGATCAGAGAATCAGTTTGAACACAGGAAATGCTTTGTCTCATAGGGAGCAGAAGGACCACTATCCAGAAATGTTAAGAAAAGTGTATATTTTCTATGTGGTACAATTAGAAACATTGAGGAATTAATGAAAAATCAGTTTCGTTTTGTAAATAATCACAATAAAGTTTGTGAAAATTGAGCTGAAAACACCACAATGTTATTCATTCACTCCAAACACAGTGGTGATAAACTACTACTGTAGCCACAGCTGCCCTGGGGCACACTGGCAGAAGCGAGGCAACGATTATGTGCCATCGGCCCCTCCCACGTACACCAACCATTTACATACCCACCAGACTCATTCTAATGTGGGTGAAGTGTCTTACCTAAGGACACAACCACAAATTGGCACTTTGCAGCTGCACACTCACGGTGCAGTACTCACACAGACAGAAGAACACAGCATGTCTACATGTCTAAATGTGCAATACTCACACAGACAGAAGTGCCCGGCAGGAGGTTTACATGTGCAATACTCACACAGACAGAAGTGCCCGGCAGGAGGTTTACATGTGCAATACTCACACAGACAGAAGTGCGCAGCAGCAGGTCTACATGTGCAATATTGACGCAGACAGAAGAACACAGCATGTCTACGTGTCTAAACGTGCAATACTCACACAGACAGAAGCACAAAGCAGCAGGTCTACATGTGCAATATTCACAAAAACAAAAGAACACAGCATGTCTACATGTGCCATACTCACAAAGACAGAAGAACACAGCACGTCTACTGTCTACATGTGCAATACTCACTCGGATGCCTGTGTGTATATATCTGTCCAGGGCGTCTGTGGCTCTATTAATCCTATACAGAAGGAATAATAAAAACCCAACATCTGGATAATACTGAAGACTATGAGCAGTAGGACTCCCAGAGTAGTCGTTTTGACGTCCCGCATTGAAATCAACAGAAATCTGAAAATTTCCCCAAAACATAACGTTTATTGAAAGATGGAATTTTTAAGGATTTAGCCTTTACCCACTTTTACTAAGTGGTAAAACTGAACAACGTCAAAACAATTTGATGAAATTCTGTCACATTGACTTTTAGTGTCAATTCATTTAAATTACCTTTATTTCATATGGGGATGATATAGAACCATTCTTACCTCTTTGTAAATCCCTCTCAAAACACTACAGAGCTCTTGGACAGTGATTTACCTCCAGAGCCCCGGTCCCGGGCCCCTGGTCGCTGGCCCCTGCTGACACTTTTAATGGCCCCTTGTTGAACCTGATAAGTGGGGTGCTTTGATGGAGGGGAAGGCCCCAATGCCATCAACCTCCATATGGGTGAAGGAGGAGGACTGGGGCCTCCGTGGGGATTATACCGGCATGTTTTTCTGAAAAAATTTGGGACAGGATTGGGTCTTTGTAAAACCCTTGAAAATTTGTTTTACATTCTCAGAAGTTCTCATAAGGCATAAGTCCATAGGGAGCGGGATGACCGCTGTAGAACACTGATCCACCACTGAGGCTGTAGAATAGGACAGGAATTATATAGGTTTAGATAAATCCATCATACAATAAAGTCAACTCTTCATTCTCAAAGTGATGTCATAAATGTAATTAGACAGTAAAACCTGTAGAATACTAATTATTATTATTAGTTTTATTATTATTATTATTATTATTATTATTATAAGCAGACATTTACGCGCAGTTCTTTCAAGTGTGGAGGTGTGGCATTGGAGACGCCTCTTTCAGAGGAGTCAAAGGAGCAGAGGGAGAGCATGGAGGGGGAGCCACCTGGACACCATCAGTCTGGGAGAAAGGTAAACATCTCCGACATTCCTCCCAGAGCACTGGCCCACAGAGGTCAGAGGTCATGATGACAAACGGGTGACCCAGGAGCACTCAGGGCCAGAGAGAAGCCCTGGAATCTCTCAGAGGGCGGGGGACACAGGACACGCTGGGACTTACACGGGACTTACACAGGACTAGACCACTGGATTTATTAGCAGAAAAACAACTGTAAACCAAAGACTTTATAATACCTACATTACTCTATTGCCATATCCACCAGCCCTACCCTACTCTACCCTACTCTACTCTACTCTACTCTACACTACTTTACACTAAATGTGACATGTATGTTTGGCTAACATAAAAGACAACAGCAGTCATCTCAGAGGACTTTACATGTAAATGTCCATGAATGTCCCAGATCATCACTGTCCTTAGACGCTCCTGCATCGGCAAAGATACAGAACTGAGGCTGCAGATCCAGGACTGAGGCTAAAGATCCAACTCTGAGACTGTAGACCAGGTGCAGGCAATATTGTTTCAGATTCAATGTAAGATTTTGTTAAGATATTGGGGCTTATCTATCTAAAATCAAAATGACTGAATGATGATTTTCTTTATTCTAAAAACAAAATGTAGCCCCTGGTTAATCAGCGTTCACGACGTGTTTGCTTCCTCTTACTGAAGCTACAATCTCAAGAGTGACATGGGCTGTGGACAGGGGGACGTGTGGGCATCTGGTTTAGTGATTTTGGGGCCAGTGACACCTGAACCGGGACTTTAATGTGAGCCAGACTTGACCAGAGCAAAGACGTGACCCCAGTGACAGAAGTAATGAATGAGGTTTGACTGTCGCACGGTGGAGACTCACTCATTCATTCAACATGAGGCACACATCAGCCCCAGCTTTGACGACAGCACTAATATTAATTTAGTGCAGGACAAGAATGGACTTATCACCAACGTGGAGCAGTAAACAAATGCTTTTTATACAAGAACAGCTTTATACATCTGGTCTCAGATCTCTGTCCTGAAGTCCTCTCACATTAGTCCTGGTCTCAGGTCTCTGCACTAGCTTCCTGTGGCCATATGTAGTGCCATATGAACCAACTTGTTTTATTTGGTCAGCTTGCTTTGTGTATGAACTGTGATTTACAAATAAACTTTCAATAAAAACAGTTTGTAAAAAAAAATCCAATAGCTTCACTGAGCATAATATAACCCAATCTAAGATCCCAGAGCTGAGGACACTGTGTAATCAAAGTAATAATTGAGCAATAATAACTCACTGTGAGAAATAGACAGCACATAATAAGAGTTTTATTTTCGGCTGCTTCTCCTGTTGCCCACAGCTGATATCCAGACCTTCACTTGTATTTGTACCGAATGTATTATTATTATAAAATTATGTGTTTCTGATAAGACAACATCTTATACAGAAATTGTAGGTTCCATGTTGATTGGCCCAGCTTTACATCAGCCGCAAACATGTGTTGGAGTCCTGGTCCAATCCTGTTCTCAGTCCTGCTCCAGTCCTGCTCTCAGTTCTGCTCCAGTTTTGGTCCATTCCTGGACCCAGTCTAGGTCCAGTCCTGGTCCAGCCGTGATCTCAGTCCTGGTCTCAGTCCTGGTCCAGTGTTGCATGTCCAGAGGCTGGGTCTGACCAAAGTCTGATCTCTGAACTCTGGTTTTTACAGACTGATGCTGGGACCGGATCAGATAAGAGCCGGTCCTGTCTTCTGAAGTCTCTGGGGACATCAGCACTACTCCCTACACGGGACAGCAGCAACCAAAACACAGATAGTAGAAAAGACATGTTCAATATATAGAAATGTATATGTTGAAATAAAAAAAAAACAACAATATCTAAAAATGTGTATTAAAAGAAGGTGACATGTTGTAACGTTTTAAAGCTGGGGTGCCTAACTTTTTTCCAGTGTGCTTCTCATGCTTCTCTATGGTTTCTCTCTGCTCTCTCTCTAATCAATCTTCTCTGCTCTCTCCCAAAGTTCTCTATCTGGTCTCTGTTCTCTCTCTGCTCTCTTTCCCCTTAGTCTCGCTCAGGTCTTTTTCTCCTGTCTCTCTGGTCTCTTTGTCCTCTCTCTCTAGTCTTTTGCCTTTGCGTTTATTAAAAGTCAAAACCAACAACCAACATTTTTTCCGCTTGTGCTCTTAAACGCATCACTGCCGGTGTCTCCTAAGGATCATCATGATTTGTTCAACTGATTAAGACTCAGGGCTCCATTAGACTGTTGTCAGTCGCAGTCAGGAGGTTTCACATACAGACGTTTGATATTGTACTTTAGCAGCAGAGAATGTGACCAGATAATCAATAGTTATAATAACAGCAGGTAAAGTGACTGGTGAATTATCATAACAGATGAATGGAATGATATGAATTATAATAACAGTTAAGACAACCAAGTAAATTATCAGAACAGATATTTAAAGAAAGACTGATTATTCACAACATTTTACTTTAACAAAACTCTCTGATGGACAATATACATGTATACATTTATATAGTGGGTAATAAGACACAACCAGACTTCAACAGCCTTTATGGAGAATCGCCCTGAAGGCTGTTGTTCCCTGTGGTCAGAGATGTGACCCGGGTCCCCTGAGACTGAGAGTATGAGTCTGCAGTGACGATCGGGTCGTTAGTGTTCCCCGCCTCAGGCCCAGAGGTACAGCTCCATCTTCAACCATCTGTGACCTGTTTCAGATCATCTCATTATGATGAAAGAGGACAGCCTTCAGTCAGGGTCAGTCAAACTAACACTCAAATATGACCACAGTATGGACTCAATAATCTTTACACACTTTATATCCACCAAAACGTGTGAAACAAATAGGTCGAGTGACTAATAAACCTTTCCATATAGTCTTATCTCATCGTTACTATAACAGCACTTCCATTTTTTCAAATAGCAATTATTTTTCAAAACTCATAAATGAACTAGAGGAATTTCTTCATAGAGTTTTTTCACTATCTTCCACATCATGTATTTTTGACCTCTGTCACATCTTTGAATCAGCTTTTTCAGTCCTCACTCAGCCAATCAGCTCTCAGCTCAAAGAGTCAAACAGTGACTCAAAAGGCTCTTTCTTACAACCAAAAGATAACATGTTGCTGCACTCCCCTCCCTGTCTGGGAGCTGGATAAATCCTGAGTCTGCAGCCTCAGTCCTAGGTCTATAGCCTCAGACCTGGATCTACAACCTCAGTCTCGGGTTTCTGAGTGGCTCCTTGTAGATGCAGGTGGGTCTAAGGACACGATGATCGGGGGCATTTCTGCATATTTATAAACATTTCTGGACAGGGGTCATCCTGCTTCCAATGGACCAATTCTATATGTTTGTTGTTATTGCCATTCCTGTGTTCAAGCTGTTTGATTATCTGATCTGTTGTTAGTGAATCAGCAATAGCACACTCCAGGACCTATCCTGTCGTGGAAGTTGCATATGAGGCGACAGTAGCTCAGTTGGGAGAGCATTGGCCTTTGAGCCAGGAGGTTGTGGGTTCGAGCCCAATTCAAGACTTTCACCATCAACTCCCACTGCCTGCTGTCGTTGTGTCCTTGGCAAGACACCCAATCTCTGGGAACACCAGGTGCCACAGTGGGGCGGCTGCAGCTGTAAAGTGCCAAACTGCCGTTGTGTCCTTAGGCAAGACATTTCACCCCCATTGCCTAGAATGAGTCTGGTGTTTGTATGAATGGTTGGTGCTACATGGTCGGAGGGGCCAATGGCACATACTGGTGGCCTCACTTCTGTCAGTGTGCCCCAGGGCAGCTGTGGCTACAGTAGTCGTTTATCACCACTGTGTATGGAGTGAATGAATGATGACATGTAAAGCATCTTTGAGTGTCCAAAAAAGCGTTATATAAACCCGATGCATTATTATTATCATCAACACAGTTGCATCATGTCTGACATGTACCAGTTGTTTTACATTATAAATAAACTGTTGACCACAGTTACACCGGGATCCGTAGTCCCAGGAGACATCGGCCTAGGCGTTTGACCCAGGGTTTTGACCCATGCATTTGACCCGGGCCATGTCCCCCTCACCTGGATTAAGAGCACATGATGAGGTGAAGGTGTAGGACATCTACAAAGGGAATCATTAAAACACTCCTCCTCCTTTCAGGCTCTTTCTCCCAGTGTCGTCACGTCAAACCGACGAGTGAGGAAGGACAGGAACAGGCAGCAGCTCACAGAAACATGAGGCGGAAGCAGGGGGGGTGAGGGGGGTGGATACAGGGCCCGTCAGTTTAGGGGTCCATAGTGGGAGAAATAGTACTAGGACTTCTTGCACCCCACTACATTACATTATATTTCAAATAATACATTGTTTGAAAGCGAAAAGGTCCTTTACATGTTGTGTATTTTTTATTTGTGTAATCTTCATCTTCAAAGCAGATCATTTGTTGGATTATTTAAGTAAAATTAAGGACAAGTAACTTCCTACTATATCAAGTATAACAGTATATATAATTATTATTAATATTATTACATATTAATTATGTATTTATCCAGGAAAGTGCCACTGGGATTTGAAATCTCTTTTTCTGGAAAGTCTTGCTCCAGAAAGGATTTCTTGATTTATACCCAAATGATTTACAATGTTAAAAGTTAAGGAAACCAGACCACCTGGAGAGTGCTAACCACTCAGGCACTTAAAGGGAAGTTAGGGTGAAAGCTGGGATAACTAACTTTTTTTTCTGTCATGAGTGATATATTTCTTCAGTCTCAAAAATGAGAGTAACATACTTGTAAGAAAGGACCCGTGAGTCTCTTTTCCCACTCTGACTCTTTGGGCTGAGAGATGAACGTGAATGTTGATGGTCCTTTCTTTTTCATTTTTCTGTCTTAAAATGTGACAGAGGCCAGATATACATGATGTGAACTAGATTAACTATAGTACATAGTTCCATTTCTATGTGTTTTGAAAGTCAGTTACCCCAGCTTTATATACGTTTGTATATATGTGTGGGGACCTTAGCCATGATAAATGATAAATGTGCACTTTATTGTCTCCGTAGGGAAATTTTTCCTCTGCATTTGACCCATATCCTGATGCCACTAATGCCACGCCGTAGTACTCCGCCCGGGGACCCATCTCAAGATGTTGATGATCCTACGCAGACGCGGGGAGAACATACAAACTCCACACAAAAAGACTCTGCTCCAAACGGAGTTTGAACCCAGGATCTTCTTGCTGAGAAGCGTGAGTGTTATCTACTCAGCCACCGGTGTCTCATCTATGTACTAAATGTTTGGCCGATTCTGCTTACAAATCAACTCAAGCTCTATCAAATTAGATAAAGAGCTTTTGTGTTGGACTTTGGGCCCTTCCAACACATGTTGAGCGTCTACTGTTTAACAGCACAGTTATAACAGTGAGTGCCTCATTATCACCACAGAGTAGAAATGTTTTATCTCAAAATGTATTTTCGGTCCGTCTGCTTTGTGGTGCTATAACTCTGACCTCTACAACTTTTCCAGGTTTTCCTCCATGTTCCGTAGGTGGCTGTGTCCCAGGGGGCGAGGTTTTGGGGGCCGTGACACGTCTGGGCCTCCCCCGGGCTTCGGCCTCTGGCTCGGGGCTGGGGGTCCGTCTGTGGATAGAGGGAGCATGTCTTCCTTGAGTTACGAGTGATTAGAGCGACGGCTGCCTCTGGACCCGCGTGACCTCACAGCCCAAAACAAGCATTAGTCTCCGCTGGACTTTTCACTTTCCACTTTCAAACACACAGCGTGTCCCTCGCCGCTCACCGTCGGACCTGCCGCCTCCAGAGATGACCCCTGACCCTAGGAAGACGTGGAAACTCAGGGAACTGTCACTATGTCCAGAAGCCACTGAAGACATTCACAAAGAGGAATCTGTTTACAACATCCAAAGCATAGAAAGAAACAATAGAGATCCAATTCTATTCAATGTATTTTTGTATCGCCCTAAATCACTAAATCACAGCACCAGCCCAACAATGTTTGATCCAGGACTTATTCTGTGTTCACGAGCAGCTCGTCTTCAAGCGTTTTGCGCCGCGGACGATGCACGTTTTGAGATTTCAAGCGTTTGACATGCCTCCAATGCGGCCGACGCTAAAGTTAAAAATGTTAAAAAATTTTTAGACATTCACGAGTGTCGACCAATCAGGAGCTTTCTCCAACAGTGACGTAGTGACGCATTTAACGACCAGGAAGACAACAGATCATCAACTATGAATCTATAGGACAAGTCCATTGTCCGTGTTTGTTCAGAGCTGTATAACCCCATGGACTATAACTACTGTGACAGAAATAAAAAGGACCTGGACCAATCCATGGAAAGACTCCAGGATGACAACAGATCCTCATCTATGGAGGACAAGCTGATTGTTGCAGTCGGTGCTCGTTCAGAGCTGTATCACCCCGCGGACTATAACTACCGTGACAGAAATGGAGGAGGGTTAGCGAGGAGGTTGGTGTCTCGGGTAAGTTATTTAAACTTTTCACAATAGTAAATATTTCCCCACACAACTGCTAGTACTTTCTCGCTTTCGAGTTGATGTGTTTATTCAGTGGAAGGATGCAAAAGGCAGCGGTAGAGTCTGAGCGACACATGCAAAGGAGAGCAGGAAGGGTGCTCGGGGGATTCTTGCGGTACTGCAGCCTAACACTACTGAGTGCACGCCATTGTTTTGAATAGTACGCCATTTTGGATCGCCAGGGCTTGGGTCTTACTAGACTAGCTCGAGTTTCCTCCCTGCCTCTCTCCTGAGTCCTGCGTGCGGTCTACCACAGTCTGTGTTCAAGCTCTGCTGTTTTTCAGATAAGGTCACAACTGTGTTAGCATCATGTCAACTTGGCTACTAATCTGTTTTTCTGCGAGCAGCACTTCACCAAAGACTGTTTCCAGAACTCTGGTTACCTTAAAACTTGACTCAATCAAGGGCTGATTGAGTCAATAAGCAGAGAGAACCAGAGAATTTGGAACCTTCACCGTGAGCAGCACTTCCCTGTTGGGCTGTAATGAGCTAGCGGGTTAGCATTTTCAATCTGTATACAGTCTATAGATAAATAGATAGATAGAAATGTTAGTGCATCCCCTCTGGTCTGGTGTTGATCAGTGTAGAAAAGAAAAATGATGATTTTAAAACACAAAACAACAACTGTTTCAGAACTACTTATAGTTTGCTGCCGTTTCCAGCACATTCAAAAGTAAAAAAAGAAAAGGAAAATACATGACGTGAAAACCAGTGCTCACACAGACGATTACATCTTTCTCAATTTTCTGACTTTAACTCATTAATGTTCTGGAGCTTTTTTTCTTTAACACATTATTTCCAAATTTCTGTACTCTGCCAAAGCTCTGAGCGGGCTCTAATCCTGACTCAGGTTAGAGAGGATCGAGCTGCTCAGTCCCCCTCAGGGCACTGAAAGGACCAGGCCGGGACACGTCCTGGGACCTCAAAGGGACCAGTGAGCTGCTGTTGGGACATGCGCTAAAGTCACTGTAGATGCGCATTGTGACTCTCCCCTTCAGAAACATCTCTGTAGCATGTAGTCACCTTATTGAGAAACTGCCTTACTGTCTGACATTTATCTGGAACTCTGGCACTGGACCATAGACTTACATTAGGAGTGTGACATCACCTGACATCCAGCTCATCTAGCAACATTTATACAGTGTATGTATGTATGTGTGTGTGTGTTTGTGTGTGCGCGTGCGTGTGCGTGTGTGTGTGTGTGTATGAAGACATTGACAAAGGGCCCAGGTGCAGCCGTGGGGGCCGAGGAGGGGGTGAGTTGGAGAGGGTGTGTGAGTGTATTGGTGTCTGTGTGCGTGTGTGTGTGTGTGTGTGTGTGCGTGTGTGGCAGGAGGAGCAGATCACAGAGATGACAGAGAAACTCGTCACTTTCCATCTCCGTAGAGAAAGGGACAGTGTTCTTGAAACCAAACGAACAAACTGCAGAGAGATGAGGCAGAAATCAAACCCCCTGGACCTAAACCTAACCAGTGTGTGTGCGTGTGTGCGTGTGTGTGTGTGTGTGTCTGTGTGTGGGTGTGTGTGTCTGTGCGTGTGCGTGTGTGTGTGTGTGTGTGTGTGTGTGTGTGTGTGCATGTGTGTGTGCGTATGTGAACCTACGGCGCTTTAAGCTAACAGCCGGGGTTTGGCTGCGTCGCTGCCCCTGTAGAAGGTCTAACTAGGGGACTCATTAATTGTGGAAGAATTTATGAAAACATTCCTGAAAATAATGCATGCTTTCGAAAATCAATTATTTTGTGTATCAGTTTATAAAAAGTAATTTATGTTAGTAAATAAACTTTATCACATTGAGGCCTGATGACAAAGGAAGTTGAACACAGATGATGCATGAGGTGTGCTCTTGTGTCCCAGATTTCAGGTAATTAATTTAAGATAGCAATAAGGTTAAAACCTTGCTATCCTACAATTTTTTGGTAAAGAAGAACCAAATAGCTCTAAGCTATAGTGTGGTACATGTTCTCTTCTCTCAATTCTCTGTGCACTCTCAAATTCACAGGTGCGATTCCTTCCAGCAGCACCATGACCCAACATGGCATCTAAGGGCGCAGCCAAACTGGAGCAAAGGATTATGGGAAGCCAGTAAGCAAGTCCGGGCTGATCAATGTGCGCTGCAAAAATCTTTCTCTGAGGCTATCGTTTCCACACACGGCTCCCTCATTACAACAGCGCAGAGCCTGAGATTACCTCCGATACAACCACACTTTAAGAATACCCTGTAGAAAGAACATATGCACACAAGTTTAAATGTGTGGGGAAGGGTTAGGATTAGGGTTAGGGGTTGGATTATACTTTTACTGTACATTACAACATTACATTTAAAACTTGACTACCAAATTTTTATACCACAAAACATGATTGTAATACAAATCCATGTAACAGCTCTTAGCTCTAAAAACGGTTTTTGTCTTTGTCATACCTCGAGGAAGTTACCAGAGAGGACAGACAAAGAGAGAGTGACCAGAGGGAGACCAGAGATGGACCTCAAAGAGACTAGAGAGAGAGACTAGAGCAAGACCAGGAAGAGACAAGAGAGAGAGAGAGAGAAAGCAGGGTCCGACTAAACATGTCCCCTTATATCCGCCAGACTGACTCCATCCTTTCTCATTTTTAAGAGGAATCCCATCATGGATTGGGCAATGCAGAAATAGAGGAATGACTTTCATTATCAGAAAAATGCCATCATCTAAAAAGTAATACATTTAAAGTTGCTGACGTCACCTTTATTACTAGTAATTTAACTATGATGACATTGTCTATGTGTAACCAGGTTATATTACCCTGAAATGGACCATCACCTCTTTCCCCATGAGTCTGTTAAGCATAGTGAGAAACTGAAAAAGCGTTTTACAGTGGGTCAAAAAAGTATTTGTGCATGTTCTCCCACTAAAAAACATGAGGGAGGCCTGTAATTTTCATCATAGGTATACCTCAACTTAGCCTGGCCTTAGCCCTCCGTATACTCCAGTCAATCATCATTTCCCTGCATGTAACGTCTGGGTCTAGTCCCTGTGTTTGCGATTACATCAGTTGAATTCCATCCGACCAAACAAAGCGTGCTCTCCTACATCGAGGTGCTCAATGGAGCACCTCTCGACCTTAGTACAAAATGTCATATGTACTATGGTGTGGTACAACCAGGCTAACCTCAACTATGAGAGACCAAATGAGAACAGAAAAAAAAATCCCGAAAACTGCATCAATTTATTTTGAGGAAATAAATTGGTTGAAAATAAGTATTTGGTCAATAACAAAAGTTTATCTCAATACTTTGTTATATATCCATTGTTGGCCATGACAGAGGCCATGTTATCTGTATGTCTTCACAAGGTTTTCGCACACTTTTGCTGGTATTTTGGCCTATTCATCCATGCAGATGTCCTCTAGAGCAGTGAAGTTTTGGGGCTGTCGCTGGGACACAGACTTTCAACTCCCTCCTAAGATTTTCTATGGGGTTGAGATCTGGAGACTGGCTAGGCCACTCGAAGACCTTGAAATGCTTCTAACGAAGCCACTCCTCCATTGCCCGTGTGTAACCCTAGCCCTAACCCAGCCACGTTTCATCTTCAATGCCTTTGCCGATGATACATGGCCCATTCATTCTTTCCTATACAGAGATTAGTCATCCTGGTCCCTTTGCAGAAAAACAGCCCCAAAGCATGATGTTTCCACCCCCATGCTTCACATGAGGTATGGGTTCGGTGGATGCAGGGTTCATAAAGATCCTTGAGGTGGGACACAACATCAGGGCTTTAGGTTATGAGAAATAAAATTCAGTACTTTCAAAAAATCAATTTAGACACCATCTCCATGAAAATGCCTGTGTTTTCATGCGTGCGCTCACCAGAGAACTCCTCTGCACAGTGACATTGTGTACGTCTGTATCGTTTCTGAAATTAACACACCAGGCTGGAAATACAGAATTTGGTTACACTACACATCGAGCGCAAAGCTGTAATGTGGTCATGATTGTACCCAGCCCAAGAGCATTTCCCCTGCTTCTTGCAAGTGTGTAACCTGTTTGCATAACCTGTGTACGTGAAAAAATATGCAGCTGTAAGAAACAGAACTGGATTATAGTAGCCTCAGGAAGTGACCACATCTTCCCCATGTCTCCTTCCTAAGCACT